CACAGGAAAGAAGTTCAGCGGATCTAGAAGAAACCTGACAGCTAAGAACATAGAGGTTTTATCAAGAATGGAAATTAAACTTTAAAAAATTAGATATTAAATGATTAGATTTCCTAGAATATAAATCTTTGTTTTTATAGTTTGACACAAAACAAGCAGTTTTAATTATATTTAGATAACATCTTATGATCATTATACTAAAAAACTATTAAACAAATGATTATATATGGCATTTTGAAAAACTCTACTGAGAGTTAGAATTCCTGTTCTCCAGAAACATACAGATAAAAATACGTAGCTTTAAAAAAATCCCTTTTATCCTATTGCCCAGTCAGGGATGTAGCTGGACTTCACTGAACTATAAAAATATCAGACTATCCTGGCTACTCAGGAGGCTGAGGCAGGAGGATCATTTGAGCCTAGCTGAAGACCAGCCTGGGCAACATGGTGAGACTCTGTCTCAGAAAAAAAAAAAAAAAAAAAAGCATCTGACTCAGATCCAAGAGCCAACTCAGCTTCCCTATCTCCAAGTTTCCAAAAGCAAACTCCCAATTTCCACCTCCTATATCCTGCTTCATCTAAAGCCATCCCCATCTCAAAATAGAAAGCATATTCTTCCAGTTACTGGGCTGAAATCCTTGCAGTCATTCATGAATCCTCACGTTCTCTTATACCCTACATCCAACACCTTAGCAGATATCTCTCACTCTAGCTCCAAACAACATCCCGGATCTGACCACACCTCACCACCTTCACTGGTCTAAACCACCATCATCTTTGTCTTGGATTTCTGCAGTGGCATATTAACTGGTCTCCTGCTTCCACTCTTGTTTGCCATTGAGTCTACTAGCCACACAGCAACCAAGGTGAATCAATCCTCCTTAAGACTTCCCATCTTCCTCTCCACATTGTTTACAAGGCCCTACATGACCTGCCTCCCACTCAGCTCAGTCCCTGAACTCATGCTTCCCTTCCCTGTGCTAGACAGAATAATAGTTCCTCACAGATGTCCAGATCCTAATACCCAGAACTCAGATGGAATAAAAGCTACTAATTAGCTGATCTTGAGATGGGGAGATTATATTGGATTCAAGTGGGACCAATGCAATCAGAAGGGTTCTTACTAGCAGAAATAAGAGGGAGAAGAGTAGACCAGATTTACGCAAATCAGAGAATGATTCCACCCATCATTGCTGCCTTTACAGAGGAAGGAAGGGGTCCAGGAGAGAGCTACTTCTAGAAGCTAGAAAAGGGCAAGGAAACGAATTCTCACCCAGGATCTGCAAAGAATATAGTCCTGTTGACCTCTTGATTTTAGCCAGTGAGACTGATTTTGGACTTCTGAACTAAAGAACTGTGTGAAACGGAATTTTTGTGTTTTAGGCCACTAAGTAATTTGTTACAGCAGCTGTAGAAAACTAGTACAAGCCTCTAAGCTGCCCAGCACCCCACATACTTCATGCTTCAAAACTTTCACACTTCCTATTTTTCTCTTAGATTTCTCTAAGGCTACTCCCTTCAGTTCACCATATCAGAACGGTCTTGCCTAACCCCCGCACATAAAATATCCCCTTTCAGAACTTGCCATCTCACTGCCCCTGTTTTATTGTTCTCCATAGCATCTGTCACTGAATATCTGAAATACTATGAATTTACTTACTTGCTTGTTATCAGGCTCTCTCACCAGGATGTAAGCTCCATGAGGGCAGAAACTGCTTTGTTCACTGCTCTATCACCAGTGCCTAAAACGATGCTAGGTGAAGAACAGGCATCCAATAAATTTGTTAAATCAATGAATGCCTGTGTAAAAGAAGGGACACAGTTTAGATTATGGGTGTTGGGATTCTCAGAGGAAGTGAAAATGGATGAATGATGCATAGGAATTATTAAGGCAAAAAGTGAAGGCAAGAGCAGTTTAGGTTTAAGGGGCAGCATATGCAAAGATTTTACAGCGTGAGCGTTCGAGGAACTAGTGTTTTCAAAGGCCAATGTAAGCTGGAATACAGTGACTGAGTAGGAGGTCGTATAGAAAGGTATATAGGAGCCAGATCATTGCCCGTCATTTTGAATTTGTCTTAACTGTGATAGGAAGGTTCTGATAACTTCATCATGCAGCAACTATATGGGGAAGACGCTGGAATGGAGCAAGAGTGAAGTAGTGGAACTAGTTAAGGGAACCCAGTATTAAGATAGTTTGACCAAAAGCTGACGTTGATTTGGATTAGGGTACTGGCAGGAAAAAATGAGAAAAGAGATGGTCAAGACACATTTTCAAAGCAGAATAACCAAACTTGAAGGTTAATTAAATGTGGGGGCTGATGGAGAGGGAACTGTCAAGAATGACCCCAGTTTCCTGGTTTAAGGAGCAGGAATAGATGAAAGTGCTGTGTACTGAGACAGGGAAGAATACAGTAAGAGTAGATTAGGGGTAGAATTTGACTTTTTAATCTACTGTTTGAAATATCAATGAGACATTCCAGGAAGGCTAGGGAGCTGTCAAGTAGTTAAGACTCCCTGACATCTCTGGAAAAGAGATCTGGGCTAAAGATTATAAAATTTATAAGTTCTTGGGATACAGGTGTACTTAAATCATGGAAACTGTTTAAAATTACCTAGAGAGAGTGGGTAGAATTGAGAGAAGAAAACCTAGGATAGAGTTCTGTAGAAGTTTAAATTTTAGAGATTAGGTAAAGAGGTGGAATGAGTAATTAAGACTTAAACTGTTAAGGAACAGTTAGAAAGATGAAGAAAGCCCAAAAGAATGTAGTATCACAGAAGCCAAAAGATGAGAATGTTTCAAGGATTGCTCAACTGCTCTGAGAGTTCTAGTTATTTGAGGATTGAATTTAGCAACAAGGGGGTCAATGTTAATTTTTTTCTCCTTTTGAGAAAAGAAAGCTTTGAAAATTAAAGTATGTATAATAAAAAATTTCTCACTTTACCCATTTTTAAATGTACAGTTCAGTAGTGTTAAGGACATTTACATTGTGTGGTGCATCAATGTTGATCCTGACAAGAATTTCTGTAGCAAAGTGAGGGCTCGATATTGAAGCAAACTTAATAATCCATGGGGGTAAGGAAGTGGTGACAGAACATATTCAGCACTTCAGAAATTTGGCTTTCATGGGCAACCTAGCTATGTGGCAGTAGCTAGAAGAGAAAGGAGAGTCGAGAGAGATAGAGGGATATTTTTTAACTGAAGGTATTAATCCATTATTGAATGTGGATTCAAATTATTCTGTACAGAAGAAAACACAGATGATATTGGAGAGAGAAAAGGTATGTTATGGATTGTGAATCATGAGAAAGCAAGAGACAATGGAGCTAGAACTAGAACAGACTAGCTTTTGCCAAAAGGCGGGAAGGAAACTGGCAACAGATGCAAACAGGTGTGCAGTATTTCTAGGAATGCTGAATGTCTGGGATGAATAATCATAAATAAATGGTAATAGTAATCTGTCAGCTTGTATATTCCTACTCATCTCTTCTACTATATTTATGTAACCCCTACTATGTACATGCCCTGAACTACTTGTGACCAAAGGAATAGACCAGTCAGCTGTTCAAGGCCTTCAGGAACATCTCTTTGATGTCGTTCCTGGAAGCTTCTGAATGGGCTTGGGAGAGATAACATTTTGGCAACATTTACTTCAAGGCCACAATATATGCTGCATTAAAAAATTACCCTTATTCTACTTTCCTTTTCAAATAATCCCCAATTATACTTCTAGACCCAATTCCTGAGAGGTTACACAATGAGCGCTGGTTACAGAATAGTTCAAGTGATACAATGCCAGGGAAATCCGGGGACAGCACCCTTCCAAAAATTTCATATTTCAGAAATCACAGTGGAATTATAAAGTATTTAGCACTGAATGGCAATAAAAGCACTACTTTAAAAACTTGCAGGATACAGATAAAGCAACCGAAATTTCTCTTTAAGGGAAATTTATAGCCCTTAATTATATATTAGAAAATAAGAAATACTGGAAATTAATTGATAGGTATTTAACTTGAAAAGCACTTAAGGTGCTAAGGAATAACACGCTAAACTCAATGAAAATGTAAGTGAGGGATTAATAAAAATAAATATAGATATTAAACAAATATATACATTTTAAAAGAAACAGATATATAATCAACAAGAAGATATATGATCTTCTTATTTGTAAAGACTACACATAAACCTCTATAAGTTTGTCTAAATATACAGACAAATCTTTGTTAAGACAAAAAAGAAAAAATAGAGAATTCACAAATATATGACATCAATAATGAAAAATAGGATATAACTACAGACACCATAAAGAATTTTTAAAGAGAATACCATGAACCATATACCAACATTTTAAAGGTTTAAATGTAGTATGTAATTTTTTAGGAAAAAGATGTGAATCATCAAAATTGATTGAAAAAATAGAAAACCCAAAGAAACCAACAATCATTAGAGAAATTAAATTGAATTTTCAAAATACGATAGTTTCACAGAGGAGATTTACCAAATGGTCAAGGAACAAATCATACCTATCTCATCCAAACTGTCACAGAATATAGAAAAAAGAAAGAAATTTCCAAATGCATTTTCCTTCTTGCACAAAGTGCAAGAAAGGAAAGTTTTAAACCAATGTCACTTATGAACATAGATGCTAAAATAAAATACATGAAGCACTATATTAATAAATAACAGTACATTAAGGCAAAGCAGGGTTTAACTCAGGAAAGCAAGGGGAGGTTCACATCAGAAATATCTATCAATATGACCTGTCACATTAACATAGCAAAGATAAAACCTGTAATCATCTCGGTATTTTTAGAAAAAGCATTTAACAACATTTCAATATTCATTTCATGGTTTAACAATATTCCTACTTTAAGCATAAATGGGATAGAAGGAAACTGATAAAGGGTTTCCACCAAAGACTTACAACAAATATCATAATTATGACACATGAGAAACATTTTCAATGAGATAAAAATAGGAAAACAATGCTTGTACTCACCCTTACTATTTGATGTTATACTGAAGGTGCCAGCCCATCCAAGGAGATAAGAAAGAGAAAAATGTATTAGGGGTGTTATTTATAGATAATATTATAATCTACACGAACACACAAGAGAATCTACAAATAAACTAACTAATAAGTTCAGCATGTTTGCCAACATTATCTAACACTTAAGGTTATTGCAAAATCTACAGGATCTCTACCAACGACAGTAGCAGCAATGACCAATTTAAACATTTAATAGAAAAGAAATCTCACTTATAATATCAGCAAAAGCTGTAAGGTACAATAGGAATAAGTCTAACAAAGAGGTATAAGAGTTTTATAAGCAAATTATAAAATGTTATTGAAAGACATTTAAAAATCAGAATAATATTAATGTACTAGGTGGCTCAATTTTTAAAGTTGTCATAGCGCCCCAATTTTAACCTATAAATATAACTAAGCAAAATACCAAAAGAGTTTTTCAATGCAACTTGACAAACTAATGCTAAAGTTAGTATAAAAGAATAGAAGTCCAAAAATAGTCTATACATTCATGAAATTAATAAAGCAGATTCTACAGTTATCAACATGGGTGGCTCTCAAAATCACATTGAGGGAGAAAAGCAAGTTGCAAAATGATATGTACATTACCTAACAATTTTTTAAATGAACAAAGAGAGGATATGCCCTTCTACACATCAAGATTTACAAAACCATAGTAATTAAGACCGTAGTATTGGGTCAAATTTGGTTTGATCAGTGGAAAAGGACAAACTAGAAACATATCCATGAACACATAGAAATTTAATTTACAATCATGGTGGCATTACACACTAATAAGGACACAAAAGACTGTTCAGTAAATCAGGTTACCACACGCCTTCCATATGGGGGTTGGGGGAAAAGGGAGGAGTAAAATTATTAAATTCCTACTTTACACCATTAAAAAAAAATAAGTCCCAGATAGATCAATCTCATGTGTAGAAAGCAAAACTTTAAAACATTAAGGAAGACATAAGAGGCTACCTTTATGCATCAGGTATGGAGAGGTTTCTTTAAGAATCCACAAATGACACTATAAAGAAAGAGATCAATGAATATGAGTACATTTTAAATTTTCTATAGTACAAAAGACATCAAAAGCAATTAAAAGACAAGCCACAGACTGAGACAATATATTTAATGTTTATACACATGAATTCCTACAAATCAGGAGGAAAAAAGATAAAACATACATGATCCAATGAAAAAAATGAACGAGGACCGTGAAAAAACAAATCTCAGACTTGGAAACCTCAATAACCAATAAACATATGGGAAAAAAATGCTTAATTTCACTAGCAGTGAGAGAAATTCAAATGAAACAACAAGATACTGTTTTTTAAAATAATCAAATTGGCAGGAATAATAAAAGTCTGAATCTAAACAAGATCATGTGAGGGAAACATGAACTGTCATACACTGCTGATGGTTGTGCAAATTGAACCATTTGGCAGTCTCTCACAAAACTGAAAATGTGTGTGGAGCCCGGCAATTCTCCATCTAGGTAGATACATAGAGAAATTCTCACATATGTGCAAAGGAAACATGTACAAGTAGTACCAAAATATTGACAGCAGTTTAATATTCATCAATAGGGGAATGAATAAACAGGACACATTTGTATGCATGGATCTACAATATAGCAATTAAAATGAATGAACTGGATCTACATTTATCAACACGAAGAGAAAAAATAAAAACACACCATGAAGGAAAAAAACAAGTCCAAGAATAATATGTACAGTCTAATACCATGTTTGTACATTTAAAAAAATCATTTAAACCAATATTCTGCATTTTATAGGTTCACATCCAGTTAAAGTGTAAAACCCAGATTGGAAAGTTACATACCAAATTCATGTCAGTGTTTGCCTTTGGGGAAAAGGGTGGAGAATGGTATTGGGGGCAGTACAAGGGGAACTTCAATTTTATCGGAAATGTTGAATACTTAATAGATCTGAGGGCGACGTGACAAAATGTTAACATATTAATTTTATGAGACAGGTATATGGGAGCTTGTAATGTTCTCTCTGCATTTTAAACATCTTCACATTTTTTCTAAATAATAAAACCAAAACAGCTAGTAAATCACTCTATCTCTGATAGATTTTAATGCGTAGATAAATGAACAGTTAATCGTCTAGAGGAACTTCAGAAAAATTAACTGTTTTGCAATGGAATCGCCTTAAAAATAGTAACACTGACAATATTATTTAAAAACTGCTGAAATGAATAAAGTAGATTCTATAGGTGTCAACCTGGATAGTTGTCACAATCATATTGAGGGAGAAAAGTTGCAAAATGATATGTATACTAGTGAACCATTTACTTAAAATTTTTAATAAATAAACACGGGTATATACATATATTTACATATATAATTAGGTAATAAGGGTATCAAAACAAATGCAGATTAAATAGCCACTTTATAATACTAATTACCTAGAAAAGTGAAGAGGGAGAAAGGTGAATGGGACTGGGGAGGGAAATAAAGTGACATTCAACTCTATCTGTAATGTTTAATATAAATAAAAACATGAAACAACTATAACAAAAATTTCACATTTGATTATCCTAGGCAGTAAATACATGAACGTATGTTATTCTTGCTGCATACGTATTAATTTTCAAAAGAAAAAGTACTTAAGAACTACAAATAAAATGCACATAATTCACTCATAAAAGCTTGTATACATCAAAAACTAAGATATGACTATTTTTAGAAATTATCCTGTTTGTTTTTCTATGTGGTTTTACATTTTTTAAAAGAAAAACGAGGGAAAAAATGAAAGCAATGAAGACACGTAAAAGAAACCGTACATGCATTTGATTATAAAAAAGGCAAACCTCCACAATCACAAAACACCATATGAGCATTCTATATCATGTGCTGCATTTCCTTACTTTTAACTTTTGTCAAAAGCAAATTACAAGAGACTGCCTAATTGGAAACGTGACTTTCTATTATTAAAATGGTGGGAGTCCATTTTAATGTGTTTATCTCGCCGCTAGACTATAATTTATATTTCAGCGTTTAAATTTGTTTGGATGCCAGTGACAGGTTAATGCAGTTTAAACATGCATTTTTCTTTCGTTGGCTGAACAGTTAAATCGTTACCTAAAGGATTTTAAGTTTCAATTTCAACCGGGAGAGGATTCTTTGCTTTTCCAAGGTTAAAACTGTTTCTGGTTCGAGATGCTATTAATTAATGGCTACGTAGCGGATCTATTTAGGGAACTGCTCCCGGCCCCCGGGTTCACAGTTGAGCTGCTCAATGAGAAAACTTTTTTTGCTACAGACTTGGGGATATTTGCAATTTAGCCTGAGAGCGGCGAACGGGGAGTGAAATGGAATTCCAGACCACTTCGCTAACAATCGCAATTATGAACCGAAAGACATGTCAGGTATTAGCCATTTTTTTCCTTAAAAAAAAAAAAAAAAAAAACTTTCTGGGACTCCGCGGGACACCCAGCTGGCTACGGACCAGCGGACGGCGAGCCGGGGGGAGGGGGGGCGAGGCCGCGGCAGCCCAGAAGTTCCGACCGGGGAGTTTCGCTCCGTTACCATTACCTGGCTCGCCGGCAGAAGAAAGAACGCGGAGACAAGATAATTTCTGAGGCTGTTAAACATGACTTAGCCGGGGGGCCGCGCGTTCCGAGGGGGTGTCCTGCGGGCCGGGGCGGGCCTCCGCCGCCCCCGCGGGCTCCGGTGCGTCAGGGGCGCGTCAGGCGGGGCGGGCTCCGCGCGGGCGGCGGCGGCAGCGGCTGCTGCGGCGGCGGCGGCGGCAGCGGGCTGCGGGCGGCGCGCACCCGGCCTCCTGCTTCTCGCTCCGAGGCTGCGGGACGGACGCTCCGGGGAACTCCCTAGCCCGCGGCCGGCCGCGTTCGGACGGCGCTAGCCGGCGGCCGGGCGGTCCCAGCATGTCGGCCGCCGTGGCGTGCCTGGACTACTTCGCCGCCGAGTGCCTGGTGTCCATGTCCGCGGGCGCCGTGGTTCACCACCGCCCGCCGGACCCCGAGGGTGCGGGCGGAGCCGCAGGCTCGGAGGTGGGTGCGGCGCCGCCGGAGTCCGCTCTGCCGGGTCCGGGGCCACCGGGGCCCGCGTCGGTTCCCCCTCTCCCGCAGGTCCCCGCCCCCAGCCCCGGCGCGGGCGGCGCCGCGCCCCACCTGCTGGCTGCAGGCGTTTGGGAGGACTTGCGCGGCAGCTCTGGCGAGGGCTCCTGGGAGAATTCGGGGGAAGCTCCACGCGCCTCGTCCGGCTTCTCCGACCCGATCCCGTGCTCCGTCCAGACCCCGTGCTCCGAGCTGGCTCCCGCCTCCGGCGCCGCGGCGGTCTGCGCTCCCGAGAGCTCCTCCGGTGCGCCCGCCGTCCCGAGCGCGCCTGCCGCCCCGGGCGCACCAGCAGCCTCTGGTGGGGTCTCTGGAGGGGCCCTAGGGGCCGGCCCCGCCCCCGTCGCGGATCAGGTGCCCCGGAGGAGGCCCGTCACACCTGCTGCCAAGCGCCACCAATGCCCCTTCCCGGGCTGCAACAAAGCCTATTACAAGTCGTCGCACCTCAAGTCTCACCAGCGTACCCACACGGGTGAGCGTCCTTTCTCCTGCGACTGGCTCGACTGCGACAAGAAGTTTACGCGTTCCGACGAGCTGGCCCGCCACTACAGGACGCACACGGGCGAGAAGCGCTTCTCCTGCCCCCTCTGCCCCAAGCAGTTCTCCCGGAGCGACCACCTGACCAAACACGCTCGCCGCCACCCAACCTATCATCCAGATATGATCGAGTACCGGGGGCGTCGTCGCACTCCCCGCGTCGACCCGCCACTCGCCAGCGAGGTGGAAAGCTCCGCCTCCGGCTCCGGCCCCGGCCCGGCGCCCAGCTTCACCACCTGCCTGTAGGACAGTCATTGCTGTCAGTCTTACCCTCAAGGATGATCCCCCAGGCGGTTGTCCCTGCCTTCTCTCTGCCCATCCCCCTTTCCCAGAGTCATTACACCAAGGCACAGACTGGTTCCTCTGCTTTGAGGGTGGGTCCAGGCAGACATGTGGATTCTGGGGAGGTACTGGGGGCCGAAAAATAGCGGGAATTCTTGCAACGCGTATATCATCCTAAAAGTGGGGTTTGCCTCAAGACAGCCCCCGGGAACTGATAAGAAGGGATGAACTCCGGTACTCTCCGGAGTACTGAAGATTCTCCCCTCCCAGGAACCAGGGATGTGAAACTGGAATTCTCAGATGCCTGAGGAGCTCCCAGTCTCAAAGGACTCTGGTGTCTCACCCATCCACCAGGGCGGACCTTGGAGAGGGTGTCAGGGGTGGCAGTCTTGGAGATGTCCAGGACTGGGATGGTGAGAGGCCTTTGGAAACAGAAATGATTTCTATTTCTGTAAACAGCAATGTTTACTAATTTATTTTTAGCATCTTTTAAATAGGGATTCCAGGTTGATGGGAGGCTAATGCCCTCCACTCCCCCAATTGCCCCAGCTACCTCTGCTAGGAGAGGCCACATAAGCTCCATGTAGATGTGTGGCTGGGATATGCTTCTTGATGTCTGGGGTGTGAGTCTGTTTGCAGGTCCTATTGCATGATTTGGAACCCTGCGCTTGCGTCGTAGCCCTTCTCCCCATTTCGATTCCTCCTTGAGGATGGTAACTTCCTGGCTCACTCTCACGCTGAGATTGGTTAAACAATTTGAAAACAACCGTAAAGGCACCAGAAAGAAAAGGGTGGTCCAGACTAGTTCTCTCTTCACTCAGAGAGAAAACTCAAGCGACCTTAAGGTTGGGCGGGGCCCAAAACAAGCGCGTTCATAACCATTGATAACTTTCAGGGAAATAGAGGCGTGTGGACACAGCTGCCCCACCTTATGTAATCTCAGGAGTGGTAGATTCTGTTCATTTCCTAATGGCTAACTAGGGGGTTATTTCCCTCAGAGTCTGCAGATTTTTGTTTCTGAAACAGGTGAGTTGGTAGATGGGAGAGGGAAGGGTAACAGACTGGTTTCTTTCAAGGAGCTGGCTGCCTTGGATTTGAGGAAGGAGTAGCGAGGTGATAGGTATTATCAAATAGGAGGACCTTTCTCCTCTGACCATATAGTCCCTCCAAGTTATATCCTCAGGGCCCCTCTCCCAATAAGAAGGAATCAGATATCAACAGTATTTGTTTTTTCTGTATGTGTCTCTGCTGCTGTGGATGAAATCATTGACCACTCTGCTTGTGTATGTGTGAATGTGTATATATGTGACCCTTTCTTTGGAGATGAGGCTGAAAGGCACTTCCTGCCCTGGGAGATCCCCTCTGACACCCTCCTGAATATTTTGCAATAGTCCGTCACTGACATTTGGGGAAGATGCTGTCATCTCATAGGACCCTAACAGGCACCTGGTTAAACAAACTGCTTTCCCCTATTTTGCAGATGAGGATACTGAAGACTAGATAAGCTCAAAGTCATATGCTGGGTTACTGGGAAGAGCCATGACTAGAACTTAGGTGTCTGGCCTGCTAAGTGACTCTTTCCCTCACACTTGGTTACCCCATCTCTTCCTCCTCTCTGGGACCTTAGTCCCTCCCTCCCTCCGTATTCTGTATTGCTTCTATGTACCTTCACATGTTGATTGAACCCTTTGCCTATTGTGTTTGACCCAAAAGCCCTTTTCTTAACAGGTTACTTTCCCTCCCTTCACACCATGTTGACATAAAGTGAGAATAACTTTTTGGCATCGTAGGAGAGACTTTCTCTTTGGACCTGCTAGGTTAATTTTCAGTGTGAATTCCCTTCTTTTTCTGGTCCTGGGCATTCCAGCATCCTCAAGAGAGTGAATGATACAAACATGGCATTGGGACTCTACTAAGTGCTTCTACACTAAATGAGGGAGGGGTCCTTAGAAAGGACCCAAAGAGTATGGCCTATGACCCTGAAGAGGTTCAGTATTTCCCAATGAAGGCTAAGCAGGGAAGGTAAGACTGTTGAGTTACCTGTGGGAGGAGAAGGTCCCCATTGTGAAATTGATTTTTGGTGGTGAAAGGAGTCCTCTCTTTGCTCTGTTTGTCTCTTCAGCTAGGGCTGGATAGCTAGGGCACTGTGGGTCCTATTGAAGACTACTGTTTCCTCTTTGTCCTTTTCAGTTGAAGATCTGCCACCGGGCAAGTGGACCAAAGAAACTAACAGGAATTTCCACTAACCATTCTGAAATTGGTTTCAAGAAAGCTTGGCTTTTCCAATCACCTGTTGATAAATAACTTTTGATTCTCAAGCTCCCAAATAGTGTCCTTATTTGGGTTCTTGTACATTGGGGACTTTCATCTGGGGATGGCCTCGAGAATCTCAATGTGACATGTCTTTCATTGGTAAAACTGACTCCTCCCAGGTCTTGAGGTGGTGGGGAAGGAGATACTCAGGACATACATTGGAGTAGCCAGATACAAAGTTTTTAGGTGGGTCTTTCTTGGTCTGAGTATTGTTGTTACCTTTTTCACTCCAGCAACCAGAGAGTTCTCAAGGAGTAGTTAGTGAAATGCCGTGAAAAGGGCTTCCTAATTTTATTGGTGTTTCTTTGGTTTCTTTTTGTTAATCAGATGGTGCTCAATGAGTGAGTACATATGGGGGTTGGTTGGGGTCAGATTGAACCTCTGAGCCCTTGCCCCATCCCTGCCATCCCCAGTTCTGATGTAGGAATGACCCAGTAGCAGAAACTATTCATAGACCTCTTCCTGAAATATGGGTTGGAGGCTGGGGATGAGTTCTAGGTCAGACCTTGGGTGTGAGGGAGTTGGATCCCCTGCTTCTGCTGGGAGGATGTGAAGAATACAGGCTTTGCCCCCACCCGTGGAGGCAAGAATATGTCATTTGTCCCTATTTCCCTGTTCTTCTCCAAGCAGGGAACCATTCTGGAATGTCATTTGTGACCCCCATCTCTACCTCTACTCACTTGTCCCCAAAGGAAAAATGATTGTATTCTCTGATGGAGACATAAGGAGGGGAGGTCATTGTACACACACACACACACTTAAGTTCTCTCTTTTACACCTCCCTGCCTGCAGTGTGCATGCACTTCACTCAGATCCTGCTTCCATAGGGTAAGCACACCTGCTGAGCCCCAGACCTGCCTTCTAGAGGCAGGTTTGAAGAACACCTCTCTCTGTTCCTACTTTTGGGGCAGCCCTGCTCCTTGCTGCTATCCAGGTAAGTATTTCCACTGTGTGTTTTTCTTTGGGTAGTCCAGATCCAAGACCAGGAATTAGGAGGAGTGGGGGAGACAGTGTATTAGAAAGCCCAGTTTTGACCGTGATACAGCTTCATCAGCAAAGTAACATTTGACCCTTGAGCAACATGAGTTTGAACTGCACAAGTCCACTTATGTGCAGTTTTTTTCAACTAAACAGTTCAAAAATAGGGTATTTGTGGGATGCAGAGCCCGCTTATATGCTGTTCTTTACACATATACAAAAAGTCACATGCGAATAGAGTATAAAAAACTCTTCATATACATGGGTTCCACAGGGCCAGTTGAGGGGCTTGGGTATGCGTGGATTTTGGTATACGCAGGGATCTTGGAACCAATCTCCATGTATACCGAGGGATGACTGTACTGATATTTTGACCCTCATTTGTCTGATTCTTGTATCTATTATTCATTTGGCTGATAACATAGAGGGGAAAGAGGTAGAATTAATATTCTCCCTTAAGCCCCACC